GATCAAGAAAAGCAAATACTGGCGCAGCGCCATAATATCATCAAATGAAGAGCCTTTACATATATAATGTCCACTTGTTCATAGGAATCTCTCAAAAAGAGAATAAAGGAATCTAGACTGGGGCAAACACTTAACCCTCCATGATCCTCCATTTGTATCATCATCTACTACCTTTCACGCAAATACCCACATTCTCTTTGAGATCTCAAGTTTTTCAATCATTTTCAACCTTTCAAAGTTATGCATGTTAGTTGAATAATGTTTCAAAGTAAGAGAACATAAGTACAATAACATGATTTAATAATTTGGTGACAATCTCTCAAATTAACAATTTAGGCCAAATGAACTTAATTGGGTTTCAACTTAAGGAAGGCTACAAAAGATTTCTCAATCATTCCTCTTTATCTAGAAGGTTTAACACTCAAGAGCTACAAATGAGCACATGTCTCCAAGTTCAAAAAGGCTCAATGTCTTCCGTCAAGGTTTGAGAACAAATACTTATGAAGGAAACAAGTTAGATATATCCACAAATGAAAGAGTACAAATCAAACACTAATGTGAGAATTGGATGACATGTCAATGAATTTGAGATGGCATGATTTTGACTTTAAACATTTGTTGAAGGATTGAAGTTTTCAAGGAAAACAACATGGTCAAAATATTTCTCATACTCCAGTGAATTTTCACACGAAGGCTTGCCAAAAAGTAAAAAATCTCAAAGTTTGAAAAAATTCTGCATGCATTGTATATGACATCATCTTTGCATATCCTAAAAAGTAAAAAATCTCAAAGTTTGAAAATTTCAAAAAATTTCTGCATGCATCGTATATCACATCATCTGTGCATATCATAAAAAAAATCTCAGTGTGAAAATTTCAGGATTTTCTGCAAGCATTTCATATCATAATAAAAAGCGGATCCACTCTTCCGCGCCTTTATTTTTCTGCAAAGCGGGTCCACTCTTCCGCGGCTTTAGTTTTCTGCAAAAAGCGGGTCAAGTCCGCCACCTTTAAATTTCTGCAAAGCGGGTCAAGTCCGCCACGGGTCAAATCCGCCACCTTTAAATTTTCTGTCAAGCCGGGTTCAAGTCCGCACCTTTAAATTTCTGTCAAGCGGGTCAAGTCCGCCACCTTTAAATTTCTGTCAAAGCCGGGTTCAAGTCCGCACCTTTAAATTTCTGTCAAGCCATTCTGCCGCACCTTTAAATTTCTGTCAAGCCGGGTTCAAGTCCGCACCTTTAAATTCCTGTCAAAACGGGTCAAGTCCGCCACCTTTAAATTTCTGCAAAGCGGGTCAAGTCCGCCACCTTTAAATTTCTGTCAAAGCGGGTCAAGTCCGCCACCTTTAAATTTCTGTCAAAGCGGGTCAAATCCGCCACCTTTAAATTTTTGTCAAAGCGGGTCAAATCTGCCACCTTTAAATTTTCTGTCAAGCCGGGTTCAAGTCCGCACCTTTAAATTTCTGTCAAGCGGGTCAAGTCCGCCACCTTTAAATTTCTGTCAAAGCCGGGTTCAAGTCCGCACCTTTAAATTTCTGTCAAGCCGGGTTCAAGTCCGCACCTTTAATTTTCTGTCAAGCCGGATTCAAGTCCGCACCTTTAAATTTCTGTCAAAGTCGGGTCAAGTCCGCACCTTTAAATTTCTGTCAAAGTCGGGTCAAGTCCGCACCTTTAAATTTCTGTCAAGCCGGGTTCACGTCCGCACCTTTAAATTTCTGTCAAGCCGGGTTCACGTCCGCACCTTTAAATTTCTGTCCAAGCCGGGTCCACTCTCCCGCGCCTTTAAATTTATGCCAAGGCGGGTCCATTCTCCCGCACCTTTAATTTTTCTAACAAGACGGGTCCGCTCTCCCGCGCCTGTAAATTTCTGTTAAGACGAGTCCATTCTGCCGCACCACTTATTTTTAGCTCAATTCAGGTCCATTTTCCCGAACCATTTTATTTTTAAGTTAAATTTAGGCCCCTGCGCCCTCACCGTTTAGCTATTGAGCTCCTACGCTCGTCATTTCTGTCCTTCACTCATTAAAGCTGAGTCCTCTGTCCCACAACTGAGATTAATTTAGCCGTGACGGCTTGTTAATCTTATAATATAATTTTGGGTTATTTTAACTGTGACAGTTTGATAACCCGAAATCAACAGCTTACCTAGAGCATACTTATTTTTCCTATTTAAGTCGGGATCTCAATTCCGCATATATTTACCTTTTAGGCCCCCGCGTCATCAATGTTTACCTTTTGAACTTATACGCGCATCATTGTATATATTTATACCTTAATATCCACACTTCATATGTTTCCCGGACAAAAATGAGAGTTCACGTCTTTACTTATTCTTTAATATGATAATATGAAAATTACAATTCATATTTTCTAATAAAGATAAGTAAAGAGGGGCAGCTGTAATCACTCAATTTTGTCCTTACACATAATAAATAATAAAAAATAAAAATAAATCATGAACCATTCATTTTGGAACATATTTGTTATTATTACTATTTTGTTTTATATTAAAAAATAAAATAAAAGAAAAGTAAAAAAGAAGAATAAAAAATTTAATTAAAATAGGATTCTTAATGAAAAAGAAACCTTCAGGGGATGTCGGTTCTCAAAACCATATACCCATCACTCATTATCACATCGTTAATGGATCCCACGTGCTGTCCATGTTGAGCAACGCATAGCTATGCCATTTTTTGAAGAAAGATATCGTAGGGGAAGCATAAAAGCAGAGATAGAGTAGGGTGAGTTGCAGGGTTTATCCAAAAAAAAATATTTTATTGAAGAGCAGAAAAAATTTACACCGCCAAACCCATGGTATAAAAAGGTTTCATACTAAGAGAGTAAAAAAAAAAGAGAGAAAATTCTAGAGGAAAGCTGTGAAAAATTCTCTGAGATAGAAAATAGAAAAGGAGAACAAATACAACGAAGAGAGGGGTTAAGAGGTTCAGAAATTATTTTATTTCTAAAAAGAAGGAGGTGAAACCAATAAGAGATATCAATATGTCATCTTCATCACAGTAAAAGATTCAAGAACCTTCTCCTTTATTTTCCATTCCTGATCACCTATGTTTGCCATTACCACTGCTGACTGAAGCAACCTCCAAGAGTTACACATTTCAATCAAGATGTTACGAGGAGTATCTTGCTCAGTTTCTCTCCACCATAGATTCTAAACTCAAGGTCAGTTTTAATATTTTGGTTAAAAGAAATTTATATGCATTAGTCATTCAATATGTGTATACGTTGCTAAAGAATGCGTGTGCACGTTTCATTTCAAAGGGTTCCTTTTGTGTCTTTGTATTTGCTATTTATTATAATATTAAATGGTGTCATAAGGGCATAAATATTAGAAACAAATGTGGAAAACAAGAAAAAGGTGGTTCAGGAACCACATTCTAAGTTATAAGATATATATGAAATGAATAGCAAATTTCAGCTTTCTTGATCTAGGCACGTACGCCATCATGAGGAATGCTGTCATGTTGCATGTTTTAATATTTAATATTTCATTGTATCTTTTGATTCTTGTTAAAGAGTTGTTTTAATGGATCATCAAACTTAAGCTCCATGGCATGCACACTCACGAAGCAATATGCCATTTGTTTGACTCATTCCAATTTCTTTGCTTTATACTAACAATGGTAACAATACTTTGTCGTGTTATAAAACAATTTGAATATTTTTTTTTTGATAACAAACAATTTGAATATTTTAATAATATAAATTTGCAAACATCATTGTTTTTGGTCCATGTACCTGCGCATTCACAGCGTTGCCTTTTGAAGGTAACATAATAACTTTGTTTTTTTGTTGTTTATTATAACATGTTGCAATTTCTCAAATAATATTTTTTTACATTATACTAACGATGACCTAAAATCCAGTTAGATTTTATCAATAATTCTAAATAAAAATTATCATATTAGATTTACATGGGTAATTTAACCGTGACGGTTTGTTAATCCCATAGATTTTGTTTTGGATCATTTTGGTCGAGACGACTTGGTGATTCAAATTTTATTTAAGTTTATCATAAAATAACATGAAATATATGTTAAAAGGATTAGCTGAGTTGTGACAGCTTGTTAATTCCTTTATTCTTTAGAATCATTTCGACTGTGACAGTCCGATGATTTTAGACCATTTAGTAATAATAAACAAACAAACAAACAAAAAATCAAGGTTTTATTTAAAACTATTTAATTTTGGGTTAATTAAAACATAAGGAATAAAAAATTAGTTTGATATCAATTGAAATGGGAGTCAGCTAAGCCGTGACGGCTTGTTAACCCCACACATTTTATTTTTGACTCATTTTTGCCAAGACGGCTTGGTGATTCAAAATTAAATCAAATTTATCATAAAATTTACGATAACAAAAAATAATAATATGAATATTATTATTCTTCTAAAAAAGGATTAGCTGAGTTGAGATAGCTTGTTAATCCTGCAATTATCATTTCGGATTATTTTAACTGCGACAGTTTGATATTCCGAAACCATCAAATCCAAAATTTTCAAATTAAAACTACTTTCAAAAAAAATAAAATCAATCAACACACAAATATTTTCTACAGAACGACGTAGCTTTGAGTTCCCTATTGTACCGAGGGATACGTCGGAGCGGGACCATCCCGTCAAGCACAAAAATAAAATTTCAAAATTAGTTTTCTTTTCCAACGATCAATTTTATTTAGGGTGAAATAAATATTTAAAATATTATCAATAATTTGCACAATTAATATAAGGTAACCGTTTTTTAACGGACGGTGTAGGGTGCTAATACCTTCCCTACTCGTAATCGACTCCCGAATCCATTTCTTTTGTATTCAAAGACCAGTTGTCTTTAAAAAAGGTTTTTTCCAATGTTTTCCTAAATAAACTTTGGTGGCGACTCCATTGTTTTAACCATTCAATATTCTTTCGCCGTCACGTCGCGATACGGTTGCGACATCCTCCTTTTGGTAGTGAGGATATCTGTATGGTCTAATATTTGGAATGGATGCATCTTCTTTCAGCAAGATTCGATGGTCACAATGCCTCTGAGGTGGTATTCCTGCGGAAAATCGAGGCTTTCACGCCCTCACCCATTAAAGTTGTTAACTTTCTGTCATTGTTAAACAATACCAAGGCAAAACATGAGTGGTTCTTGATTTACCTATTTGCTATACATGCTGCAATTCAAATTTTTTACTTTTTCAGCCAAACAGAGCACGTGTTTGTGTTTTTGCCTCTGAACAACTTGCTCTCTTTGTTTTTTCTGCTTAGGCGTATGAGGGCATTCAAGCGGTGGATGAAGTCTCAGGGATTCGAATGGAGCGATGCATTGGAGTTTGTGGACACCCCAGAAGAGGGAATAGCTGTGAGAGCTTTGTGCCAATTGAAGGAAGGTGATGTTGTGGCCAAGATGCCAAAGGAAGCTTGCCTTACCATCAAGACCAGTGGGGCACGTGAGATCATTGAAGATGCTGGTTTGGATGGTCATTTGGGGTTAGCATTTGCCATCATGTATGAGAGAAGCTTGGGTGGTGACTCCCCCTGGGCTGGGTACCTTCAGCTTTTGCCTCACCAAGAGTGCTTGCCATTGGTTTGGACCCTCAATGAAGTAAACGCCCTTTTGTGTGGTACTGAGCTTCACCAGGTATACCTTATGTTATAGAGCTAAAGTAATCATTAGGGATGGATTAAAGTTGACCATACAGAAATATGACAATGTATGTTCGTGTTTGTTGATTGCTTTTTCGTCTTTGCTCTAGTATACTTGTTTGAAAATGGCTAGAGTATAGTGTTTGTTTCTTGATATAATTTTTACTTTTTAGTCTGTCTTTTAAGTATAGTTTATGAATCCCTTGTTTTTCTTTTGACATATGCATACGAGAATAGCATTGGAACCTTCATAATATGAATGATGTCAAGGAATTTTCCAGTTTACTTTCTGTTCTTTATTTGCTGTGGCTGGGGTTCAATTAATGTATATTAGATTTCACAGTTATGTCCTTTGAAAGGTAGTTTGAACGTTAGAGAAGAATAAGGGTACATATTAATAAGTTTATAATGCTGATTGCTGAGTGGACCCTGCACTTATAAGGGAAGTAAAATGAAAGAATATCTGAGTACTTGTGATCGGCACTGCATTTAAAATTTCCAAGATATTTTTATGACTGTTCTTTTAGTCCTTGGCATCAAACTAGTGTTTTGAAATACAAAACTATGTGCTTTGCCGTTCATGAAAATTTTCTGATCTCTTACAACTGTAGGCAGGCAGTGCAAGAAGAAAAAGCTCTTATGTATGAGGACTGGAAAGAGGATATTCTGCCCCTATTGGATTTGGCACCTTCAAAGCTTAAACCAAAATTCTTTGGTATAGAACAATACTTTGCAGCAAAAAGTCTAATTTCTTCGCGATCGTTCTCGATTGATGATTACCATGGTTTTGGCATGGTTCCCTTGGCAGATCTGTAAGTAAAGCCTCTGGTGATTACCATGGTTTTCTTTACTAGTCTCGGATTACCCCTTTAACTGCTATTTATTATCATTTAACTTTGCCTTACCCTTGTAAATACTCAAATCCATAGATGAATTAAAATCTTTAAGATGGTCATTTTATTCAATTTGACTCCAATACCTCAAATATTCACCAAGACTCTTCAATCTAGTTGGTATTCCAATATCGTATCAGAATACCATTTAGATTCCCCTGCTAGTGAGAAGCAAGCATTCCTGGATAAATGATATGTATGCTGTGCTGTAAGTCAAAGTTGTATTAGTTTGTACGTGTTTCATTTAGTATTTTTGTGGTTCTAATGTACCTGGAGAAAAAACCCTGGTGTTATCAAGTGAAAAACATTTATATGGTTCTCAAAACCATATACCCATCACTCATTATCACATCGTTAATGGATCCCACGTGCTGTCCATGTTGAGCAACGCATAGCTATGCCATTTTTTGAAGAAAGATATCGTAGGGGAAGCATAAAAGCAGAGATAGAGTAGGGTGAGTTGCAGGGTTTATCCAAAAAAAAATATTTTATTGAAGAGCAGAAAAAATTTACACCGCCAAACCCATGGTATAAAAAGGTTTCATACTAAGAGAGTAAAAAAAAAAGAGAGAAAATTCTAGAGGAAAGCTGTGAAAAATTCTCTGAGATAGAAAATAGAAAAGGAGAACAAATACAACGAAGAGAGGGGTTAAGAGGTTCAGAAATTATTTTATTTCTAAAAAGAAGGAGGTGAAACCAATAAGAGATATCAATATGTCATCTTCATCACAGTAAAAGATTCAAGAACCTTCTCCTTTATTTTCCATTCCTGATCACCTATGTTTGCCATTACCACTGCTGACTGAAGCAACCTCCAAGAGTTACACATTTCAATCAAGATGTTACGAGGAGTATCTTGCTCAGTTTCTCTCCACCATAGATTCTAAACTCAAGGTCAGTTTTAATATTTTGGTTAAAAGAAATTTATATGCATTAGTCATTCAATATGTGTATACGTTGCTAAAGAATGCGTGTGCACGTTTCATTTCAAAGGGTTCCTTTTGTGTCTTTGTATTTGCTATTTATTATAATATTAAATGGTGTCATAAGGGCATAAATATTAGAAACAAATGTGGAAAACAAGAAAAAGGTGGTTCAGGAACCACATTCTAAGTTATAAGATATATATGAAATGAATAGCAAATTTCAGCTTTCTTGATCTAGGCACGTACGCCATCATGAGGAATGCTGTCATGTTGCATGTTTTAATATTTAATATTTCATTGTATCTTTTGATTCTTGTTAAAGAGTTGTTTTAATGGATCATCAAACTTAAGCTCCATGGCATGCACACTCACGAAGCAATATGCCATTTGTTTGACTCATTCCAATTTCTTTGCTTTATACTAACAATGGTAACAATACTTTGTCGTGTTATAAAACAATTTGAATATTTTTTTTTTGATAACAAACAATTTGAATATTTTAATAATATAAATTTGCAAACATCATTGTTTTTGGTCCATGTACCTGCGCATTCACAGCGTTGCCTTTTGAAGGTAACATAATAACTTTGTTTTTTTGTTGTTTATTATAACATGTTGCAATTTCTCAAATAATATTTTTTTACATTATACTAACGATGACCTAAAATCCAGTTAGATTTTATCAATAATTCTAAATAAAAATTATCATATTAGATTTACATGGGTAATTTAACCGTGACGGTTTGTTAATCCCATAGATTTTGTTTTGGATCATTTTGGTCGAGACGACTTGGTGATTCAAATTTTATTTAAGTTTATCATAAAATAACATGAAATATATGTTAAAAGGATTAGCTGAGTTGTGACAGCTTGTTAATTCCTTTATTCTTTAGAATCATTTCGACTGTGACAGTCCGATGATTTTAGACCATTTAGTAATAATAAACAAACAAACAAACAAAAAATCAAGGTTTTATTTAAAACTATTTAATTTTGGGTTAATTAAAACATAAGGAATAAAAAATTAGTTTGATATCAATTGAAATGGGAGTCAGCTAAGCCGTGACGGCTTGTTAACCCCACACATTTTATTTTTGACTCATTTTTGCCAAGACGGCTTGGTGATTCAAAATTAAATCAAATTTATCATAAAATTTACGATAACAAAAAATAATAATATGAATATTATTATTCTTCTAAAAAAGGATTAGCTGAGTTGAGATAGCTTGTTAATCCTGCAATTATCATTTCGGATTATTTTAATTGCGACAGTTTGATATTCCGAAACCATCAAATCCAAAATTTTCAAATTAAAACTACTTTCAAAAAAAATAAAATCAATCAACACACAAATATTTTCTACAGAACGACGTAGCTTTGAGTTCCCTATTGTACCGAGGGATACGTCGGAGCGGGACCATCCCGTCAAGCACAAAAATAAAATTTCAAAATTAGTTTTCTTTTCCAACGATCAATTTATTTAGGGTGAAATAAATATTTAAAATATTATCAATAATTTGCACAATTAATATAAGGTAACCGTTTTTTAACGGACGGTGTAGGGTGCTAATACCTTCCCTACTCGTAATCGACTCCCGAATCCATTTCTTTTGTATTCAAAGACCAGTTGTCTTTAAAAAAGGTTTTTTCCAATGTTTTCCTAAATAAACTTTGGTGGCGACTCCATTGTTTTAACCATTCAATATTCTTTCGCCGTCACGTCGCGATACGGTTGCGACATCCTCCTTTTGGTAGTGAGGATATCTGTATGGTCTAATATTTGGAATGGATGCATCTTCTTTCAGCAAGATTCGATGGTCACAATGCCTCTGAGGTGGTATTCCTGTGGGAAGCTTGAATACTTCTTGAAATTCTTTTAATAGCTCTTCAATTTCAGGAGGTAGCCCATCTTCACTTTCTTCTTTTTTTGATAACAGATGCAGTTCAACGTAGTAACTCTCTGCTCCTTTTCTTACTGTCTTCCCAAGCTTCTTAAAGGATACCCTCTCTCTGGATAACAAGGGATCCCCCCTCAATTCTCTCGTCTGCCCTTCCCATTGAACCCGTAATAGGGACTGCCTGAAATTACTTGAACCTCCCCAAGTCCTTCCAACCATGAAAACCCCAAAATCACATCTACCCCTCCCAAATTAAACAGAAAAAAATCTTGCACCACTGGCATACCTGAGAAAGTACGCAGCATCCCCTTACATATACCCTGGCTTCGGGCTTTGTGGCCGTCTCCCATTTCCACTGCGTGTCGCACAGCTGGTTCGACCTCCAACTTCAATCCCTCTGCTACTTGGCAAGCTAAAAAATTATGTGAAGCCCCCGTGTCGATTAACACGGTGACCCGTCTTCCCTTGATATCCCCCCATAGCCTCAGTGAGTGGTTTGACGTCAGGCCTACTAAGCTATGCATGCTTAGCTTTAAGTCCTCACCCGCGCCTCTGTCAGTGCCGTCGCACATCGCCTCCAAGACCTCATTCTCTGGCTCCAAATTGCCCATACCAACTAGCATAACATGCAAGCTAGCGTTTTGGCACACGTGGTCAGGAGTATATGGAGCATCACAACGGAAACATAGATTCCTTCTTCGTTTGTCGTTCCATTCCTCTGGTGACAACCTCCGGAAACGTGCACCACGAGCTCCATTTAACAAATTAGGGTTTCCCCCACTCCCCACCGATTCGATCCCTCCCTTTCTTTCACTATTTGCCACCTGGTTTCCACTAAACCCACTACTCCTCGTCTGTTGGGTTGAATTACGTGACCCACTTACGTTCTGCCCATTATTTGCCTCTGGTTTCCTGTTATTGGGCCTATGGTCTGCTTGGTTTGAGGCCCGATTTGTCAAGGCCAGGCGCAAATGCAGCCCACTTCCATGCCCTCCCCCACTGCTGTTTCCTTTCACCGTGACTCCCATCCTTTCTCTCACCGTCTCTTTTTCCTCAATGCGTTGTGCAAGCGTCATCATCTTCCCCAACTCGGTCAGATCATGAAGTCTGATCTCCGCTCGAATATCCTCCCTTAACCCATTCAAAAATGCAGCTCTAATCATCTTCTTATCTGCATGTCTTAGTGGTGTTGATAATAATTCAAATTGTTCACGGTATTCAGCGATGGTTCCTTCTTGATGGAGGCTCATAATTGCTTCATATAGGTTTCCAGAAGATGAGAAATGAAATCTCTCAAGCACTGCTAATCGGAAAACATCCCACGTGATAGTGGGGTTTCGGCTTTCCCACCATTGAAACCAATTTAATGCCCTTCCTTCTAAACAAATGGCGGCCGTCTCCACATGTTCTTCTGTTGGAATATGATTGATCCTGAAATAATGTTCAACTCTGTACAACCACCCATAGGAGTCTTCGCCATTAAAATATGGAAGCTCTACTCTCCGTGCTCGTTCTTCATCTCGGGTATGATTGACCCTGTCTCTTTCCCTTTCTTCTCTATTCAGCTCGGTGTGTGGGCTTCGCTCTCTGTTTCCACTCCTACTCCTTGTCCCTCTATCCTCCATTCTTAATACGTTTACACTATCAACAAGTTCCACTACTGTTGCACTGAGCTGATGAATGGAGTCCTCGATTCCTCCTAGACGTTCGTCTACTCGAATGCTACCTCTTTCCAGATTCTCAATTCGTGATTCCATTCTGGTTAGAACCATATACATTTTTTTTTTTTTAAATTTTTAGGATCAATAGAGCTTTGATACCAATTTGATGGTACCCTGGCAAGCTATCTAAGGATCACTTTTTTCTGAATCATTGTAAAATCGGCAGGAAAGCAGTAATGATAAACAACAGCAAATTTACTGAAATACCTCAGTGACTCTTTTTATATATTCAGATGAACTCATCATTCACCATTATCTAATTACAGAAAAGGAAACCAACATGCTACTCTTCACCATCGTGACAGAGAGACTTATTACACATTGAAGTAACAACTACAGACACTACTACTATCACTGCTACATTGCAGCAATTTACATAACTAATTAACTAGAAAAGATAATAACAGAATGAGGACACCTTCTTGATATTTCTCCAATTCCCCAGCTTCCTCTACAAAACAACGCCCGTTTGCAGAGTAGCCATCTCCCCTCTCCTTGAGCAGATAAAAA